CAGTGGGCAGCTACCAATCCAGCGCCCGGGGAGCAGTGTGTAGTGACGTTCCTTCTTACTGATGTTGCTGTCATTCGGTCTCACTACATCTATCACTACGGCGGTCTTCCTCTGCTTGTCCATCACTACTATGTCCGGTTGGATAGCCACGACCATTTTGCATGTCTGTATCTGGAAGTCCCACAAGGTCTTAGCTTGGTCACTCTTGACCACCCTACGGGGGGGATCTCCCATTTTGAACTCGGGACTTCCAGGCCATACTCGGCACAGATGTTTCTGTATACTATGCCAGCCACTTGGTTATGGCTTTCCATGTATGTCCTGCCTGCTAGTATCTTGCACCCTGCTGTTATGTGCTGGATTGTCTCGGGTGCATCTTTACACAATCTGCAACCGCAGTCCTGCCTGGTGCGATAGACGCCTCCCTCTATGGATATTGTGCTTGTTCCTGTGCTGCCATGATTAGTGCCTTCAGTTCAGCTTTGTCCAGCCACTGGTAGAATTTCTAGATGTCAGCAGCTTCCTCTATCTGCCAGTGGTACATACCGAGCAGCAGAGATGGGCAGTAACGCGTTACTTGTAATGCGTTACTGTAATCTGATTACTTTTTTCAAGTAACGAGTAAAGTAAGGGATTACTATTGCAAAAACGGTAATTAGATTACTGTTACTTTCCCGTAGGTTTGATCAGTTGTGAACAAATTTATGCCTATGAGATAGATAAACCTGAATCTGCTGATCTACTGGTGAATAATGAATCCTACTACAACTAGTACGATTAAAAAGCTGGGAACCTTGACAATTAGTCATTACTTCAAAATACAATGTTTTCAAACCAGACTTGTTAGTACTTTTTGAAATTGACGATTGAATTGTGATTGTGTAATGTCAAACCTTGTGTGATGATAATTGTAATTCTGTTCAGTATGGAAGGCATGTTGGCAGTTAGGCTAACAGCTCGGTTCTTCCTCTGAATGTACTACTCCACTGTTTATGTTTATTTTTGTCAGTACTAGCTAATACTGGAGAGAAACTGTCAAAAATGCTAGCAGGGGACAGACTTCCTGTGCACTAGAGGATGCTTCCAAGCTAACATAAACACCCCATCGAGCGTAAATCTGACATGAACTGCTACAGGTCTAATCACTGCTTTTTTTTCCTGCTATAATTAGCGACCGAGAGGATGAAATCACAGATTCATTCATTTTAAAATATCTCTGATGAGATTCTTTAAGTCTTAAGTTCAGTTAAGGCTTCTACAAAAAGGAGGTGTGAGCTCATCACTGACACATTCACTTTGGGTGAACTGTCCTTTTTCAATATTTGATTTTTACCATCTCAGCATGTTTGCAGTCTGTCATTAGCTCTACTGCTGTTAAAGTGTTCATCTCATTTGGCTGTTGGAGGCAGTGTATGCTTTCATCAACATCATTACTCATTTTCATGCCGCTGCTTCACTTCGAAGACAAACAATGGCAATCTTAAAATCACATGCTGCTTTTCAGTTCACGCCTACATGATCTAAAATTTTAACAGCTTCTTTGAGCTACCCATTGACTCCCAGATTAGAGTAATGTAATACAAATATTTTTGCCCATCACTTTAAAATGGCAAAAATCATATTCCAAGAGTGTGCTGACTGTTGGTCATTGTGCGTGCATTGTGTGGTGTGTGCCACTTACGTCAAAGGTTTTTCTAAGCGGCTTCCCAGGGAGCCGACAATTTCACCCAGTGTGCAGAAGGCCTGGCCCAGGAAGTCCTGCATTAAACAAGGGAAAAGAAGGTTTATGAGTTAAAGAGGAACATTCATTACAATTTTCTTTATACATCTTTTGCATTTGTTCCTTTTTCCTAAATCTGTCCTTAAAGACGGTTTAATATTAATTCAAGACATTTAATTATTAATTTGTGATTTTATAGGCTAAAATACAACATATTCTCTTATATTTTTTAGCTTGCAAAATCCAGTGATTTCAGTCTTTATTATAGGATTTTGTACCATTTTACCCTGCCACTTATCATTGCAATATCTTTTTCAGCTGCAACAAACAAGGCTGAGCCGATTATGTGACTGGCTGTGGCTTCAGCATGACTGAACAAACAGCCATCATACAGAGATACCACACAGCAGCGCCACGTGGAAAACAGAAAACAAAAAGCTATAGGTAAAACAAAATAATTAAGTAACAAAGTAAACAAATTTGCATTTGCACCCGCATTGGAAATATCTCATTTGAAGCTGTTTCTCCAGCAGATTTAAAGTGAAGGGTAAAAAAACACATTACTCAAATTAAATGTCACATTCCCTTCTCCATCCACATTTATTTTGCACACTGACATCTAAGCCCACCGTGCAAAGAGACTAGTGTCCTTGTTGATCACTGCAGGGTGACCACATGAGAGGAGTCAGTGTAGAGATGAGGAGCCCTTGGCCAGCAAGAACAGCAAAACAGAGAATTCTTGCATAAAAAGTGGACTGCTCATGCACTGATACTAAGGCCTCCCCTACGAGACTGAGAATGCACGCGTATAAAAGTGCTTGACAGATGAGCCGTGTTGAGTCCAGTGGGCAGAAAGCTGCTCCAAAGATATATTATACTGATATATATCAGTATATTTCTCCCCCAGCCGAGGTCTCAAAACAAAAAGGATGACAAAAACACTCTGGCCTTTCCTTAACATGTGTGCTACTAGCGAGGAACCCTAGCCAACCGCCTGCTGTACCATTGAAAGTCTAAGGCTAGGAGTTGTGGTGCTATAGATTCACTGTACAGAGAGAAAAGGTTTGAAGGGTTTCTCTAATAATATAT